AGTGCAGGAGGAGACCAGGGACAGATTCCACCTTACTGGCGACCCTCGGAGGAACAACTGCTCTCTGGACATCACAGATGCCAGGATGACAGACGTGGGATCATACGTCTTTAGGATTATCAGGGGAACTTATGTCAAATTCAGCTACAAATACAACCAGCTCTATGTGAATGTGACCGGTAAGAAGTGGGGGCCAGTAGAAGATAAAAGGGCACAGCCAGGTCCCCCTGGACCAGTGGGCTGCGCCCCCTGCTCCTGATGCTGGGAGGGACAGAGGGATGCAGCATGCTGCCATTAGCAGGGAAGGAACCCGCCTACCTGGGGTAGAAGTTTCCTTCTGGGACCAGTGAACAGGATTTCATTTTCTTTCTCTCTCTCCAGCCCTGACAGAGACCCCCAAAATCCACATCCAGGGGACCCTAGAAGCTGGCCGCCCCAAGAACATAACTTGTAAGGCGCCATGGGCCTGCAAAAGAGGGAAGCCCCCAATCTTCTCTTGGAGTGGGGTTGCTGTCACAGCCCTGGGACCCATGGATCCCCACTCCTCCATCCTAACCCTCACCCCGGAGCCAGCACACAACGATACGACCCTCACCTGCAGAGTGACCCTCCCGGGAGCAGGTGTGACCACAGAGAGCACCATCCAGCTCATTGTGTCCTGTGAGTGCTGGGCTGCCATGCCTGAGTCCCTGGGGAGAGTGGGTGTTGGGGGAGTGGGGCAGAGCCTGGATTACTGGGTGCTGGGCCCCACAAGAAGGGGGTGGTGAAGAACAGGACATTAGACTCCATCTCCTTCCCATGTCTCAAATGTCTGCAAGAAAAGAGCCAACACCCATCTTCATGGTTCTCAAAAAGGGATGGCTATTTCAGTCTATCCAGAAAGGCCATAGATCCCGACCACTTGGGTGTTCTGGGGGCGATGGCCTGGGTCTGAAGCAGACACTCCTCTCTGGGGCTGTGAGGGGCTGAGCTCTCGGCTCTCACAGCAGGTCTGAGGTCTCCTACCCCTATTGGGCAAGGTCTGAGGCCAGGTGTGGGCAGCAAAGGGGCCAATCTACAAAGGGCTTCACCTCACCCCTGACCTGTGGTCCCCAAGGCCCTTCAGGACCTTCTTGTTGAAACCCAGTAGATGCAGCTGTGACCAGCCCCATGCCAATGTCCCCCTCCCAAACTCAGTCCTCATGCCTCACAGGACCGGCCCTGATTTCATCCTTTATTTCGGGTTT